TCTATACTAATAAAAGGGTAATATGCAAATTAACCATCACTCCATGACAAAGATGGCGGTGCCTATAGCCACAAAGATGGCAGCGCCGGCCAGAGCCATGGAGCCAACCACTTGGCTTCCCACAAGCCCTGGCGGGCCACCGAGGGCCGGCCTCTGGGTGGCAGCCACGGAGCCAGCAGGAGCGGGTGGGAGGCGGCTCCAGCCCGGAGTGAAGGCGGAAGGCAACAGCCAGAGTGAAGGCCTGGGTCCTGGGTGCCAGAGGGAAGCCGGTGCCGGCAGCCAGGGGAAGGAAGGCCTATTCTTGCACAAATCTTCGTGCATCGGGCCTCTAGTGAAAATATAATGTTAGATTTAAACAGTACCATCCTGAGAATACACTATAAATGGGGTTTAAGAACAACAGCCTGGTAGGGACTGGAGACCACTACTCTTCACATGACCTTGCCTGGATGTTCCCGGATGGCAATCCACCAAGGGTGGGCAGCAGCAGGACCTATGTCACAGCTTCTCAGAGTGGGGCTCAGCCTTCTCAGCTCCAGACTCTGGAAGTGAATCAGTCTCTAAGCTCTTGAATAGACAGTCAAACGGGATACATGTCCTTATTTTGTATATTTCAAACTATCCTATATATGTGGTTTTTGTTGTTGTTGTTAATCCCCACCTAAGGATATTTTTTCCTCATTGATTTTTAGAGAGAAACATAGATGTGTGAGAGACACATCGATTGGTTGCCTCCACAGGGATGCTGGGGATTAAGCCAAGGGATGTGTCCTTGACTGGAATCAAACCTGCGATCCTTCAGTCCTCGGGCTGATGCTCTAACCACTGAGCGAAACAACTAGGCTATATATGGTTTTAAAGTCAGACAGTAATGCAAGCTCTTTGGCCCCTTGAGTGTGGCTCTTCCTAAGCCTTAGGAGTACCCTAATTAAGTTAATAACAATGTACCTACCTATATAGTTTAAGTTTAAAAAATTTGGTTCTCAAAAGAAATTTCAATCATTGTACTGTTGATATTTGGCTTTGTTGACTAATGAGTTTGCCGACCACTGGTCTAGGTTCTGGTCAGCTAAAAAGTTGATTGTAAATATCCTTTTTTAAATTCAATTGAGTAGTCTGAAAAAAAATCCAAGGTAAGATGTTTATAAAAAGGAATTAAGAGTTCTACTGAGACTAATTCTTAACCTAAAAAAAAGAAAATGTGTGTCACAGCCCAGACCTACTGTTCCCACCTCATTGACACATGTTTCCTTCTTCAAAGACACTGTTCTAGTCACAGTCCTTGCTAGAGGGAAGTACCCAAAGTGAATGAGGTCAACTCCTTTTGGAGACCTCTTGGCCAGAGGTCTATGCTATCTATCTTATGACATCAAGAGAAGAGAATTGTGCACGGCTGGTGTGGCTCAGGGGTTGAGCATTGACCTATGAATCAGGAGGTCATGGTCTGATTCCTGGTCAGGGCACATTCCTAGGTTGTGAACTCGCTACCCAGTGTGGGCATGCAGGAGGCAGCCAGTTAATGATTCTCTCTCATCATTGTTCTCTCTCTCTCTCCCTCTCCCTCTCCCTTTCTCTCTGAAATCAATAAAAATATATTTTTTTAAAAAGAAGAAAATCGCAAAAACTGAAGGACATTCGACTGGTCACTTAGCACCTCTACAAGTTCAGCCCTACCAGGGACTGAAATATGCTAGAATCAGGCTTGCTATTTAGTTCTTCAGTCTGTCCTTAAATAAATCCCCAGAGTCTTAATACTTTCATGCCACTCTCCTCAGAACACTTCCTAATTTATCTACGAGTAAAGACACAAGATGGCACAGACAAGTTCTGACAGCCGCATCTCAACAATGCATTATACCAAAGGCTAAATGACAGTGAGAGCCTCACTCAATTCTTATCTAAAACACAATTCAGGACGTCAACATGCAGCAAACACAAGGATTTAGTTGCCTTTTCCCTCCTCCCCTCCAACATTAAGCTCCTGTCTATTGCCAAGCTTGTCTGGCCCTTCATGCTGTCTTCAAAGCAGTGACAACGTCCTCATCATAACGTGTTTCAGATTTTGGAAACTAGCTTTCTAAAGGTGCATACGAATTCTTTACAAGTGAAATGCACATAAGTATTCATATATTCACTTATCAGAAATGCTCTGAGAGCCCAGCTGGCGTGGTGCAGTGGTTGAGCATCGACCTATGAACTGGGAGGTCCCGGTTCGATTCCCGGTCAGTCAGGGCACATGCCCCGGTTGCCGGCTCGGTCCCCTGTGTGGGGCCTGCAGGGGGCAGCTGATTAATGATTCTCTCTCATCATTGATGTTTATTCCTCTCGCTCTCTCCCTCTCTCTTCCTCTCTAAAATCAATAAAACTATATTAAAAAAAAATATCCTGAGATATAATACATTCTTTACGGTCCTTAATCACCATAAGATTTGGCTTTAGAGGTACACATGGACAGAGACTGAAGGTTGCCCATCCGTTTCAAGGCAGAGTTAACTATGCAGCCAGCATTTTCAACCTCACCTCCCTCCAATAAATAAAATTGTATTATAACCTTTGAACTACCTTGATGCTTTAGCTATATTAAGAACACACACAAAAGGACCAATTATTTCCAAAGAACATCGTTAGAGTAATTGAATCTTTCTAGAAAGAGGATTTTTTTTTAAATCTAGAAAAGAGTTTATAAAGAGTGCCCTTCTCAAATCTGACCAAATGCATTCATAGTGCAGTAGCTCTCTGGAGCAGTTTCCTTGGCCAGGAGGCAGTTTCCAAATGGCCAAGGTGTCCTTTGGAAGGCATGAGCTTTGACCTATGAACCAGGAGGTCACAGTTTGATTACCGGTCAGAGCACATGCCCAAGGTTGTGGGCTTGATCTCCAGTAGAAGGCATGCAGGAGGCAGCTGATATATGAGCTTTGACATTGATGCTTCTATCTCTCTCTCCCTCTCTCTCCCTCTCCCTCCCTCTCTGAAATCAATAAGAGTGTATTAAAAAAGAAGAAGTCATGGGCAATTCTCCCCTTCGGCGACTCTAAGCCTCCCTCACCAATCTGAGTCTGGTACACTCAGCCAGCTGTCAAGGACAGAAAAAAATCTACAATTCTCCCTTCCCTAAACTTCAGAACAAATTAACCATTTATTAGCCAGTAACGTCGTCCAAGGATTCGATAGGATTGTAAGTCACACGAATAATAGTATTTTTAGTGGCTGAAACAAGGGGTTAAATGCCAATCGTTACCTGTAAGATTGCCAATAACCTTAACCACAAAATGATATAGATATATTCTGGCTCTTTGCCCACACGAGCTGTTCCATGAGCATTTACATGCACGCATGTCAACCAACATACAAAGCTGTGCACGTAAATGTTTATAAGCTTACCCCCTTTCTATGTAAAGCATTGCACACTTATCACATTTACCACAAAGAGCCCAGGTAATACCCCAAAACATACATATTAGCAAACATTATGCAAATCCTACCATCCCATTTTGATATACCTTCTTAAGCTGTATTTTTGCCATCCTCTTTGACTGTTTCAGTCAGTTCTTTCAGTTCAACTAAAAAATATTCTGAAAAACTTTCTGACTTCCAGTCATCTTAGTTCACCGCCTGCTGCTAGTTAAAAATCCATTCCCAAATGAGAGCTTCTACAGGAAAGGATACACACGCACTCCAGGAAACAGGCATTCATTTTCACCTTCAAGACACCAAGCTCGTCCCCTGCAGCTCAGAGCTCTGATTTGCCCGGTGGACCTCGGAGGCACATTCCGCAGTCCCCATCTGCAGGGCAGGCTCGCCTGTTTTGATCACGTCTAAGTTTTCCAGGTAAACAGGTCACCCTCGGCGACAGGGACGACAAAAGAAACTCACCCAGGCGGTCAGACTCCAGTCCCGGGCGCTCGCAAGTGAGCCGACCTGTCGCGCCCCCTCCTCCCGGTCCCGGAGGGAGGGCAGGCGCAGGGCCGGCTGAACTAGGCTGGACAGCAGGCTTCCCGCCGCTCCCCTCTGCAGACCATTGTTAGAGCCGCGGTCGGCGAGCTTCCTGCACCGAATGGGGGCGGGAAGCTCCACCGAACCGAATAGTTGCAATGCTCTCCCGGAGCCGGGGAGGAAAAGCTGCTTTTGCATCCGAGGCGGAGGCTGCACCAGGTGTAACTTCCACCCCGTGACCTATTTTAGAGTGTGAGAATGAAAGCAGTAAGAAAAAATAGACGGAAGGTGCGCGGGGGAGCTGGGCGCCGTGGGCGC